ATGCCACTACTTAACAGTAAACTGGGCTATTTCCATCATAAGGCTATTACAAATAATGTAGCCATGAATGCACATGTCTCTGTGCCTATACAGGTGCTTACATTGGATACTTATGTACATATTACTTTGTATCAGCATTTAAATTTCACTTGTCCAACCACAGTGGAGCCTATCAAATAGTTATTCAAAGCAGTCATACCAATGTAAACTCTAATAGAGGTGGATGAAAAGTCTAGCTTCATATTCTTGAGCCTCACCAACAATCGGTATGTCAGTCTTTTTAATTTTAACCATTTTGATGGGTATGTAGTGGCATCTCCCTGATTACTATCAAGGTTGGGCATCTTTTCATATTTATTAGCTATTCCATTATCTTCTGCAAAGTGTTCAAGACTCTTGCTCATTTTTATTTACACATAATTATCTGTCCTTTTCTTATTGATTTATAGGACTTCTGATTTATAGGACTTCTTGTAGACACAAGATATCTTTTTGGTCATATGTTGAAGATATAGTCTCCCACTCTATAATCGGCCTTTTTACATTGAAAGAATAAAATGCATCAATTTTAGTGTAGTCCAATTTACCAATCATTCCCTTTATGAAAGCTGTTTTTTATTTAAAAAATTATTCTATATCCAAAGATCATGAAGATATTCTTCTATATTATCTTTTAGAAGATTTATTGTTCTGAGCTTCAGTTTCATTTTTGTAAGTTGCTTTCAATTATTTGTATTGGTACATTTTTTTTTGTCATATGGACATCTAGTTGACCCAACACCACATACTGAACAATCAGTCATGGCTCACACTTGAGGTCCTTCATGATAAATCAAGTATTCTAATATCCATGGGCTAGTTTCTGGACCCTCTTCCATCTGGTCTGTATGCCTATCCTTGGATCGATACCTTACTGTCTAAATTATGATCTTTATAATAAATCAATATTATTATATCCAGAGAGTAAGCTCTCCCTCTTTTTTTTCAAGATTGACTTGGCTGCTCTTCACCTTTAATTTTCCCTGTAACTTTCAGATTATCTTGTCAATTTCCATGTACACACAACTCACAAACATAAACCTGCTTAGATCTTGATTAGATTACACTGAATCTGCAGATCAATTTGGATAAAAATGATAGCTTTATTGTAGTGTTTCCATCTTTTGTATATCCCCCTATTGATTTAGGCCATCTTTAATTTCTCTCAATAATATATTAGTTTTTCATGAAGAAGTCCTATCCATCTTTTGTTAAAATTACTTCTGATGATTTTTAGTACTTTTGTAAATGGCGTTTTTCACAAATTTGCTTCTTATGAAGAGAAGTAAAACTGATTTTTATACTGACCCTGCTAAATTAATTTTCTAATGACACAGCTATGTCTACAATGAGTAATTAAATAAATTAACTATTTAAAAATAATTTATAGTATTTTCTTCCTCAAGCTAAGTTTTATTATTAAAACATTCTGGAAGGGAGAATAAAATTGTAAAAAAGACATGGGAATATATCAAATGTAAATCTGAGAGGTAAGAAAGTACTTTAAAATTACAAAAATTCTTTAAAAGCTGTTACTTGAAAGACACTATCAGCATCACAGATAGTAAAGACCACAGTCGACTTTTAGTTGGATTCTCAATACTTCACTTCCTTATTGAACATCTACTATATCCCTCATAGCACGTTAGGCACTGGAGGACGAAGACACTATGACTCCTGGAATTCCTGTGTCATTAAGGCATTCACAGTCCCTCAGTGAAGGGACTGAGGTAAACATCAAATAATGAGAAAGTACTCTTAAAAAGGTATGGAAGAGATGCTATTCTAACGGAGCACCACCTACTAACATTAAAAAGGAATAACAACATTAGAAGAAGACATGGATGAAGCCTAAGCCATTTCTTCAGAGATGAGAAGCATTTCACCAGATGCACACAACGGGGAAAGTTGTTCTAACACATAATTACAAAGAGAAAAAGCAGTGAGTACTGCTCAGCAAAGTATTATAGTAAATACTACATACATTAGGAATAAAGGTTACATGTGACAGAAAGGCAAGAAGATAAATTATTCCAATTCATAAAGGAGCTTTTCTTTTCCCATTCTAAGGAATCTGGTTTAAAGAGTTAATAAAGAAAGAAAGAAAGTGAAGTTGCTCAGTCTCGTCTGATTCTTTGCAACCCCATGGACTGTAGCCTACCAGGCTCCTCTGTCCATGGAATTTTCCAGGCAAGAGTACTGGAGTCGGTTGCCATTTTCTTCTCCAGGGGATCTTCCCGACCTGGGTCTCCTACATTGCAGGCAGACACTTTACCATCTGAGCCACCAAACTGGGGCTAAAATGAGCTTTGCTTTTTATAAAGATCAGTCTGGTGACAGTGACGAAGTTGAATAAGAAAGGAAGTTTGAGACAATAGGCTACTGCAGTGGTTCAGGCACGACATGATAAAAGCCTGAACTAGGGCAATAGCGGATATATAGAGGGAGTCAATTTAAGAACAACTATAAAGTAGACTTGACAGAACCTGACCTCTGACCACAAGGAAAGAATCTAGGATTCCATCATGTTTCCATTTCAAAATTTGGGTCCAAGCCAAGAAGTGCCACAACTCAACCACAAGATTCACTGAACTTTGGACCCTGTCTCTTCACATACAAAATGATGGGGCTGGACAAGATGTTCCCTGATGTCCCCTCAAGCTGAAATACCCATTACTCTGACTAGTCAATATACATGGTCTTAAGTACCTCATACCACTATGCTCAACTGAAATATAAGTAATTTTCTTTTTCTTTATTCTCTTGCTCCACCTTTTTAACACAATTATGCAAAAATTACCTGTGTTAAAAGAATGATATAAGAGAAAACACACATTTTTTCCCATAAGACTAATCCTCTTAATGCTGCCAGCTTTAATAAAACTTCCAGTATCACCAGTATTTTTCATTCAGACTAGATGACTACTAGTCAACTACTAATTTCACTAAAGCTAATAGTTAATTTAACTTAAACACACCATTAAAGAGAGCACCTGCAAAAAAAAAAAAAGAGCACTTGCCTAAATTCAACCCCAAGATTTCATCTGTCACAAAAGTATTAAACTTTTGAGATATTACATCTCAAAATATTCATTTATTTAAATACATCAGTCAATAGATTAGTCCCTGAGTTTGAATCAGATGTTTTGCTAACAGGCAAAACTCCTAGGATTATATTTAATAGATAATATTAGAATATATTTAAATTTATTATATTTAAAATGGCTTTTAAAACAATAATTTTTGACTTGTCAGAGATATTTGCAGAAAGTAGTAAAGGAAAACTTACTTTTCAAAAATCTTAACTTCCACATCATTTAATAAAGAATTAATTCAGTCATGGTGCTGAATAAGCTTAATATTTTATACTGCCTTTGCTAAGTATTCTGAGGTATTTTTATAAATTAAAGAAGAGGAATGACATTCTAGTTTTTGAAAACTATCTGAGTCAGACAACCCAACCCAAAATGATTGTAACACCTTACAAATGAAGACAGTGAAGCCCGGAAGGGTTAATATCCTATTCAAGGTAATTTAGTTAGATTGAAGACTTTGCATTTTCAACATTGTTTTCCAATGAACCCAACTGCTGCAATATTCTTAAAATATAAAGTATGACTGTATGTCAAATGCTATCACAAATCACATCAGTGTTTTCCCAGGCTTAATAAGCAAACTCAAGTCTTACCAAAATCCTCAAATTTCAAAAGGTTATCTCACTGCAAAAACATATGTGACATTCATTTTATATTTTCACAGCATAAAACTATGAGGTCATTAAATTTAACATAATACTATATTGCAAACCAATGAAAATTGAGTGATACATCAAAGTCAAAATATCTGAATAATAAATTCAAAGAACTGATGATCATATAATGAAAATTCTTCATGTAGATGAGATAAAATAGAAACACCTTCCAAAACTGGTGAAAGGAAGAAAACTGTCAACCTGCATATGGTGAAGTAAGAATCTAAATTTTCCTTCTACCAAGAAATCACCTGAAAAAAATTTTCATTTATTTGTCAAGTGAACTTTCATTAAGACCCTAAAATATACCAAGCACTATTCTAAGCACCGGGGATGGTGTGTGTTGAACAAGAAGAAAAAGATCCTGTTCCGAGCAAAACACAGGCAATAAATAAGCAAAATATCAGATAATAATAAATGTTGTGGAGAAAATGTTACCAAGGGTTACAAGATAAAGAATGGGTACTCATTTGAGATTAGACGATCAATGAGAGTCTCATTAAGGGAATACCTTCAAAAGTAACAAGAAAGGATCTACCCACTCTAAGAGTAGGACAGAAGAACATTCTCAGCATAGGGAAGAGCATGTACAAAGAATCCCAAACAGGCACCAACCTGGTGGGTTTGAGGAAGTGAGGAAGGCTGTATGTCTGTGAAGCACAGTTAGGAAAGGCAAGGATGACTCCCGATCAGAGAGAAAGATGAAGGCCAGACCACACAGAGCCACAGTTAGCAGTCTCAAGCTTTTGTAGGTAAAAACCTAAATTTGAAGTTACAAGTATACTAGTGTTAAAGTATGCTTTTTAGTTATCAGAGTCTGGAATGAAACAATGAATTTCAATGAATAAACTCAAACATTTTACCAAAGAGTCGTTTATTTTGTTTTGCTCTCTTCAATCTTGGGAAAGTAACCTGAGTAAAAGCTACATGGCTTTTAAGTTTTCTTCCAGCTGTATGACAATTTTAATTTACCCTATCCTTATTTCAGTAAAGACAGTGGTTTAAAACTCTAAATAGATTCCTATAGATCCTTCAAACTTAATTTTATTATACTAATTAGCTTACTTCTGCCTCCCTGAATCCTAAGCTCTTTGACAGATAAGACTATCTTATAATTATGAATACTTCTCTGGAAATTTTAGTCTATAGTTTAAAAAGAATCTATTTTTTGAACTTTAGTGGTTTAAAAAAAACAAAAACAAGACTATACCTATTTGTTTTGCAGCCTGTAATATATCTTTTAAGTCTTCATTTACTCTTTGCATTTCACTCTTCTCCAGTTTTTCATTCAAAAATTTTACAATCTTCATCCATGTCAGGTCCAAGCCTATAATTTGTTCATGAAGTTTAGACCGCTTCATCTGAAACAGACAGCATAATACAGAAACATACTGGTTAAAAATTTTCTCGAATCTATCTTTTACCACATATATTTTTCATTAATCATACAACTTGGCACCTTCTACAAGAATGCAAAATTGTATCTATTCACATCCAAATTTACAGCTCCCAGAAGGAGCTTTATTTAAATGTGATTTAAAAGAATCTCATTTATTCAAAGATACATTTTTAAAAGCTTCTTTTTCTATAGTTTAATCACAATGAATACTCATTATGAAATAATTTTCATGTGGCAAAGTAAAAAGCAAAAAGTCCAACACCCAGATAACAATTGGTAACATTCCACAAACCTCTTTTCATTTTCCTGCTTGCTTTTTACATAGCTTAGACCATACTGTATATAAGAGCTTTATGTCATGCTTTTTGATGAAAGGCATTTAAAGAAAATAAGACTCCTGTGATGGGAAGGCAAAAGGAGAAGGAGGTGGCAAAGGATAAGAGAGTTAGAAGCATCACTGCCCCAACTGACATGAATATGAACAAACTCCGGGAGATGGTGAAGGATGCGGGAGCCTGCATGCTTGCAGTCCATGGGGTCACAAACAGTCAGACATGACTTAGGGACCGAACGACAACAGCAAATGATGGGTTCAATATATTCAAATCAGCATTTCTTTCCTAAGGTTGATCCTACAACAGGTTAGGAATCCAGGAGATTCTTATCTGTACATACTCTTTCCATGAGACTGTATCTCTCCAGTCTCAAGAACTGACACAGAAAGCTGTAAATATTCTACTTCATATCACTGAACTTGATCCCTGGATTAAACTTCATGACATCCTCTGACCAAATGAAAAGCAGTGAGTCAGATGTTATTCCTGTCATTTAGCCGCTAAGTCATGTCCAACGCTTTAATTTTCCCCTTGGTTGTACTAACGATTTTGGACCCAAGAAAAAAATCATGCATTTACCAACTGCATGTTACCAATTGTTTTCTTGGGCTCCAAAATCACTGCAAATGGTGACCGCAGCCATGAAATTAAAAGACATTTGCTCCCTGGAAGAAAAGCTATGACAAACCTAGACAGCATATTAAAAAGCAAAGATATTACTTTACCAACAAAGGTGTGTATAGTCAAAGCTATGGTTTTCCCAACAGTCATGTATGGATGTGAGAGTTGGACAATAAAGAAAGCTGAGCACCAAAGAATTGATGCTTTTGAACTGTGGTGTTCGAGAAGACTCTTGAGAATCCCCTGGACTACAAGGAGATCCAACTAGACCATCCTAAAGGAAATCAGTCCTGAATATTCATTGGAAGGACTGATGCTAAAGCCGAAACTCCAATACTTTGGCCGCCTGATGTGAAGAACAGACTCATTTGAAAAGATCCTAATGCTGGGAAAGATTGAAGGTGGGAGGAGAAGAACTGAGTGACTGAACTGAGCTGAAGGTAAAATTTACCATTTTTGAAAATGCACACAGAATTGAGAAAAGGAATGTCAAATATCTGCCCATATTTTATATTTATAATCGTTTTATCTAAAACAATGTACCTGTAAGTCAGCCACTTCTTCATTATAATTATCTTGCTTGGTGACATTTGAAAAGGAGCGCAAGGCTCCTGTGAGTCGAGGTAAAGCCATCTATTATTCAATCAGTGATCCATACAACGAGAAACTTGAAACTGAAACAAAACAAGATGATATTTAACTGTAGAGAGGAGGTGGGAGAGATAATCACATTCAACAAATTAGCCTGTATTAAAAAAAAAAGAAAACAGTTAAAAAGCAATTGCTACCAATGATGAAAAGTTCTCTTGACACATTTTCTACCCAAGCAGTTCTTTTATAACACATTGTCTTATAGGTGGGGAAAAAAAGACAAAAAAAACCCACCAACACTTGTTTGTGGGTACTACTATAACATTCCTTCAGATGAATTGCATAGATTCCCAAGTACAACAACCAGTAACAATGACAGAGATAAAAGCATTTGCTTATCTTTTCTCCAATTTCATTTTATGCTCATTGATTTCATCTCACATAATCTCTAATTTTTTGTCTCACTGGCTTTTTCCGGTTACATGCATTTGTATTACCTGAAGTACTCTTCTGATGTTCATACAGTTGCCGCCTTAAAGTTCTAGGCTTAAAAGACCACTCAGTCACAGACAGGGCAGCTACCCAGCTACTGCCTATCATAGTACAAAACTCCCATTCTCTTTACAGGCACTAATTAATATTTGATAGTCTCTTATCTACTTACTTATACAGTGTCTCACCCAACAAAGAGTAAGCTGCATGACCAAAAAAAAAAACAACAAAAACAAAGACCTTCATCTCCCTCGTCTCCGCGCGCAAACACAACAGTGAGCGCAAACACAACAGTGATACAACACGTTCGGCGGATAATATTCCCTTGTCTCCGCACGCAAACACAACAGTGATGCAACACGTTCGGCGGATAATATTCCCTCGTCTCCGCGCGCAAACACAACAGTGATGCAACACGTTCGGCGATGACAACGTCTTGGCTGGGCCTCCTCGGTGGCTCAGTGGTAAAGAATCTGCCTGCAGTGCAGGAGATACGGGTTCAATCCCTGGGTCGGGAAGATCCCCTGGAGAAGGAAATGGCTACCCACTCCAATATTCTTGCCTGGGAAATCCCATGGACAGAGGGGCCTCGTGGGCTACAGTCCATGGGGTCGCAAAGAGTCGGACACAACTTAGCAACTAAACAACAACTACGTGGTTAATAAAAGAAGGATGAAAAACTGAGAAGAAGAAATCACGGTAACGGGAACACTAAAGAACCAGAAAACAACCAGAGCAGCTAAGGAAGGGGAGAACTCCCAGGCAAAGAAAAAAGTCACATGATCTGATCTAATCTCCTTATTTATATGCTAACAGTCTTCTGGCAGATAGATTATTTACTATGAAGAGAGTCCTCAACTTTACAATACTCTTAGAGGGCTATCTTGGTTTAAGATTGCTTACTATAATAAAACTACAATATATACATCTGTAAGGCATGGCTCCCTGAAGAACGTCACATGAGCTAGTGCGTGTGTGCTCAGTCATGGCCAGCTCCTTGCAACCCCATGGACTGAAGCCCACCAGGCCCCTGTCCATGGGACTTCCCAGGCATGAGTGTTGGAGTGGGTTGCCCTTTCCTTCTCCAGGGGATCTTCCCAACCCAGGGATTGAACCTGCATCTGTGTCTCCTGCATTGGCTGGTGGGTTCTTTACCACTAGTGCTACCAGGCAAGCCCAAGCTATGAAAGTTGTCAAACAAATAATTTTGCCCCACTTGAGACATTTGGCAATACCTGGTGACACTTTGGGTCACTGGGGAGTTGGGTGGGTACAACTGTCTTCTGGTGGGTAGGGCCTATTGACGCTGACAAACACACTATAAGGCACAGGACAGCCTCCTCACAATAAAGAATTATCTAGCCCCAAATGTCAATAGGGCAAAGCTTATTAGGATTCCCATTCCAGAGTCTAAAAATAGAGATGTTTTGTAACCCAAAGCACTTCTGAACTGTGAAAAGACCTACACACCTCAATTAAGAGACCTCACTAATTATTCTGGGCCAAAGAGTATCTGTCCATTAATGGGACTGGAATAGCAACTAGGAGACCATACAGGATGCCTCAGACCACTCCCTGTTTCTGCTCTTCTTGACTGCATACACCTTTGAAGTTATTATAAAATTTGATACTCAGTAAAATGTCCAGTTCCTATATTAATTAGATATTAAAAAAATTGTATGAAATGTTTAACAAAATAGGAGAATTTTTTAAAAATGAAGAATAGTAAAATGACTAGGCAAATTTGAAAATATAACTTTTAGAAATAAAACTACATACTTAAATAAAAAACAAATCAATAATGAGTTAAATAATAGATTAGATACAGTGAAAACAAAAGTGGTGATCTTCGAGAGATCTGAATAACCCAGTATGCTGTTACAACTAGACCAAGTATAAATTAAGTAGATCAAAGAGAAAGAAGCCCAAATATATCAATACTCACAATAAATGTAAACAAATTAATCTTAACACCCAAAAGATTGACAACCTGAATAACTAAACAGCAATCAAGTAAACACTAGAGCCATACCTAAAACAGGACAGAGAAAGGTTGCAAGTTAAAAGATGGAATAAGATCCTCCTGTAAATGATAACCAAAAGTAGCTAGTGGCTATGTCAATATGTGATGCTATATATCAATAGCATCAGATCAGATAAAAAAGACTTAGAACAAAAGGCATTATTAGGGATGGGGAAAAAAAACACCTCTCTATATAATATTAGGAGATGTAGCTCACTAAGGTATAAAAATGTTGAATTTGCATGCCCCGATGAAAATTAATTAAACCTCAACACACGTCAATGTAAATTAAAACAAACAGACTTCCAGAAAAAAGTAACAAGTCCAACATCAAAGTGAAAGTTCAATAATCGATCAATTATTGATATGTCAAATCAACTTCAACAAAAAAAATGGAAGTTGAGCAGTGAAATTGGTAAATATAACCTACGATAAATGAAAGTATATATTCTTTTCAACTACATTTGTAACAATTTTAAATGGTCTATGTATACCAGGCCATAAAGTAAATCTCAACAGATGTCAAAAAGTTAAGTATCGTATAGACTGGCCGTCAACAAACTTTGCAGGAAAAAAGCAAATATTTTAGGTTTGGCAGGGAGCCTCTGCTGTATATTCCTTTTTTTTTTTTTAATCATTCTTGGGCTCAAGGTAACCAAATTAATCTGCTGACTCCAGATACAGTTCATATTTTCTGAATAAAATATGATTAGAAATCAGAAACACAAAAGATTAAAAAACATAGTTGTTTGCACTGCAAATCTGTAAGTAAAGGGTATGATTCGGGTGAGGTAAAAACCAGCTGGAGTCTCCACATCACAATAAAGAAATTTCAGTCAGAAAAGTAAAACGATCCAATTTGCAAATAAACTCCCTCACTGGCTGATTTTAAATTTCAGCTACCCACTGGGAATGAATTTAGGAGAACATTTCTGGAAATGAGATGATTCAAAGAATCACACTGGGGTTTTTCTAACACGACATAACATACTTTCTGGAGCATCTGGAAGAATAAATGAAAGCAAGAGTCAGTGAACACAGCACTGGGGTCCTAGGACTTCAGTGTGCACCACGATCACCTGGAGGGCTTCTCAAAGTGCTGAGCTTCACCTGCCTACCCTTCACCCCCCGTCTTCTACTCAGACCAGACGGCACTGAGATGGGACACAAGGATCTCATCTTCCCAGCAAGTTCTCCAGTGATGCAGCAAGTCTAGCACCACACTTGGAGAACCACTGTTTCAGAGGTGGTATCTTTTATTCTGAAGTCACCATCTCAGTCCTGTCTCAAACCAACAGTAACCACGAAGTTTCCACTTCTATTAAGAACTCAGCAGCTTAAGTGCACAATCTGTTTCCCAGCAGTCTTTCTCAACGAGGATCTGTGAGAGAAGTCTTACTGAAAGTGAACTGAGTGCCTTTTTTCTCAATTCTCCTACAGATGGAACATAGTTAATATCATCCACTGAGTAAAATGTATGCCTTGGGGCACTGGAGTTTAAACTCTCTACCTAGATAGAGAGAATTCTATTCAAAGATAAGAATTCGATTCATGATGACTGACAGAAGTAAGAAGTCTTTAAAGAAAGGTCTTGACACTAAACTGAACAGTACTCTGCCTCAGAACCTACTTTTTAACCATACACGTTAGTGCTTTCAAAATACAATATCAGAACAAGAGACATGTGATACATGGGATATTCTACCTCAGGCAAGGTCTTAAGAATTAATAGAGTTTGGCATCACTACTTTCATCATTTTCACATATCTCACAGTAATCTGAATGTCCTGTCTCTCTCTTTAAAAAGCAAGGAGTAAGACTTCATTGATTTTTATTGTAATTCACCAATCAAAAATCCAAACAAAACAACAAACTGCTCACACACAAACTCTTAAGAAGAGATCTAATAATAGTAGGGCCTGGTAATGAGGTCACACTGTTAGACTCTACACTAACAGGAAACTTTAAAGCTCCCTGAGCAATCATCAAAATAATCAGTATGAATTATACTTCTCAAAAGATGAAGTAAAGCACATTCCCTGATTTTTTAAATTTGGTTTTATCTATTTTATTCCTCAAGTTAAATGACCAACACTGTAAAATATAATAGTTCACTTCTTCATAGTTGCCTATAAATCATTTATTCACAAATATTTTAGTATCTCCTATCTAGCAGGAACTGTGTTAAGCACTGGGTATAAATAAGGCATACAGAACTCTATTCTTCAAAACCTACTGTATCCTATACCAGTAAAAAGATCATCAAACACTTAAGGGTATCTGAAATGCATAAAGGTCAAATTGAGAAAATAAATTTTAAATCTTATGGTTATTCATTTAATCAACAAATATCTACAGATCACCCACAATGTATTAGATACACCGCAAGGATCTAGAGATTTAAAAAGGGGAAAAAAGAAAAAACAGTTCTAGTATGACTGACTCTTGCCCTAGATAACAAGCATACAATACAGCTGAAAAGAAAGAAAAACAGCTGCAATAATTATGCAAGTATAACTATAGGAAGACAAGGGAGAAACACCTAAGAGGGTGGAAACAAAAGTAGGT